TCTCTCTCTCTCTCTCTCTCTCTCTCTCTCTCTCTCTCTCTCTTTTTTTCACTCTCTCTCTCTCCCTTTTTTTCTCTCTGTTTCCTCCCCTTTCATTTTCTTTTTTGCCAGTTTCATTATGTAGTTGTTAAACCTTGCTGTTAATCTTAGAATATAATGTTGATCTTAAATGGTTGTACTTTTCTATATATATATTTGTTTTGTTAGCAAGTGGAAAATATGTCATTCTTATTTGTTTTTGTGTTATGGTTCAAATGTACTACAATTTGTATAATTGCCTGCAGTTCTGTGTCTTTATATTTTGTTGCCTATATTGTTTCGTGTTTCATTGCTGATACAATTTATGATGTTTGTACATTAGACTAGAAAATGAAATGAAAGACCTTTTATTTCTAGGTCTTTCCTTAAGCCATGGACTTCATTTTGCCTTTTCAAATCAGTCATGTTTAATGATTATAATATCAGCTTCTTAGATGTTCCATTCTGCAATGTGGAATTTCTGTCGGCAGCATTGTCAGTAGTTTGTTCTGTACATGTTAGTGTACTGGTGCTTGTATCATCTTAGTTAACGCCTTGACAACATTTCTCCAACTTTTTTTTTTCCTTTTTTTTTCTTCTTTTTTCTTTTTGTTCTTCCAACTGTTGGGGAAAGAAGGTAGTTGGATGACAGAGGCATCAAGTATTTACAGCAAGCCCTCACAAGCCCAGGAGTATTTTATGTTTAGCCTGTATTCACTGATCACTTATAGTTTCATTTTGCAATTGTTCTGCATGGCTGTGGTGTGGATTTGCTGGTTGGGCTTCTGTCTTGAAATTATTTATTTGGGTTTTGCATATGTTTAAAATTTTGATAATATGACCTCTATGGGTAATCTTCCTTGTAGATTTAACTTTAGTTTTAAGTGTTGGTGATGTGTGATGAATATCAGGCAAAATGGTCTAATGTGTACTTAAATATTGTAGATTGGTATGAATTGAATGACAATGAAAAAGTAGAAGTTCTGAAATGACACTCTTTTCAATATAAAAGGAATCATCATGAGTACTAGGGACCTAAATTTCCCATGTGTAATTTTCAAGTATTTTTACTCATTTCCTTTCCTAGCATACTGAAAATCTTTGGCCAGTTCTCATAATGCAAATACAAAATACATAAAAGACCTTACCAAATGCACACATATCACTCTATTCACTATGAGACAAAACACAGACCATGTCGTAGTAGATAATGAAAAGCAGTTGAGTCAGAGGAATCTTATGTATAATCATGAAATAAGAAATCCTCCTCCTCTTGTTGGAGAAGTTACATTGATACATTTGGTAATTAAGGTCATTGAGAAATAGTATGGTTCAAATGTGTACCTTCTTAGCAGCGGTACATGTTTCTTGGTATAGCACAGTAGAATTTGAAGCCTGACACTGACATAGCACAGCATGCAGTAATTGGAAACTAAAGAGCCATTATTGTTCTAGTAAAACAATTAAATGAACAGTATCACTAGCACTATATACTGCATGTATGTGCACAGATCCATAAAGAGGAACTCATTGCTCAACAAAGAAGGATGCCTTGCTCTACTTTTTACACGCATTGGTCGTGTTTCTAACTGTTACATAGTCTCAAGGATAATATGAAGTTGGTGACCCAGCATGCATTAATGGTGTTATGCTGCAGTGTTCTACTATTCACTTTTGTATGTAGTTTAGCATTGGAATGGGGGAGACTGGTGGTTGACAAGCATTTCCCGCATGAACTGTATGATTAGTGTAAGATATACAGATTTATTGAATGTGCATATGTATATATATATATATATGAGTGAATATTTTTAGAGATAATTGAGATTGAGAATAAGAATAGGAAACTTTGTAAGCTATATTGAGGAATGTTTGAAAGATTGATAGGTGATAGCTGTTGTGCCATGAAAGAACTGATATGCAGTATAAATGATTACCTCTTGCTGATTATCCTATTTTGCCTCCAGCTGTCCAGTTTGCCGTTACTGTCAGACCCCAGAGGAGACGCCAGACCAACGATGCTTGTTGTGCGGGTCAGCTGACTCCTTGTGGATCTGCCTGATATGTGGACATGTTGGATGTGGGCGTTATGTAGGAGGACATGCTCACAGGTCTGTATTAGTGCTTTTATGATTGCATATTGAACTTCACAGACAGGTGAAGAGGAAAGGATAAAATAATGTGTACATTGCACTCTGTCACTGATTATTGAGGTAAATATCAGTAATCCAAGCTAATATACACTTAAGCCACAGTAAGTCATTTGTAGTAGATGCCTGGGGCATTGGTGGTGCCAGAGTTGGTAAAGCAGCAGTCATGTATAACTAGTAATGAATGCCAGATTCAGTTATTTTCTTGAGTCGTTGAAGTTGCCACATTAATGATGCCATATTAATTATATTAAACTTGTACAGTATTTAAGGGCTTTTCTATAAAAGAGACAGAGCAGTTGAAAAGGAATTTTGTGTTGACTTGTGTTACACTGTGTATATCAGCTGTAGTTTTAAATTCTAATTGATATTCCTTATAAAATAATATGCCGACCTAATTGGCAGACACTTCATGGAGACCAATCACCTCTTCTCGCTGCAAGTGGGCAACAACAGAGTGTGGGACTATGTGAGAGATAACTATGTGCACCGCTTATTACAGAGTGAAGGTGATGGCAAAGTAAGTGAAGACTTGGTCATCTTCAGTGTTTAATCACATAAAGGTGTGATTATTCTGAAATAAAGAAAGCTTCTAAAATAGTGGCACTTCCATTCTTCAGTCAAATAACCCCTTTTTTCCGTGTCAAATTAATATTTTTCTAGTTTTTATACTTTCCTTTTTTCAGTTTATGCATCCATATGTCAGGAAAAAGGCAAATTTTTTAAAGGATTGTTTCACCTATTATTTATGCTTATAATGCAACATTGTGCAGGTTGTATCATATGAGCGGACATCACCAGTGTCTGATACAAAGGAGGAGTTAGTTCAAGGGGAAGAAAAGTTGACAGCACTGCAGCTGGAATACACACACCTCCTTTCCTCGCAGCTAGAGTCACAAAGACAGTACTTTGAAAACAAGATAACAGAAGCTCAAGCAGAGGCATGGCATGAGGTAAGTTCTTTTCAGTAAGTATTTAGCGGTGTTAAAGGTCAAATAAAGTCAAATAAAAGGAACAAGTCATAGTGAGAAAAACACTATAAGGTCTCGTGTTTCTTGGTTTTGTGTAATCCACTTAATTCTTTCACTTACAATGTTTAATTTTTGAAATCTCTCTATATTATTATCAAGATTAGATACTCTGTTTTTTAATGTATATTATACACTATTACAGTGTATTTTAAGAATAATATATTTATATTTCATAGGCAGAAGAATCAAAAGAAGCTGTAAAAAAACTTAGTGAAGAAATGCAGGCAGTCAAACAAGAGTTGGTTTCTGTTACACGTGACAAAGTTACACTTGATAAGAAGATCGGTCAGTTGAATAGTAAACTGGCAAAGGTAAGGTTCTAAGAGATTTCAGTATTAGTTAAATGCTGTGTAGTAATTTGTCAGATATTAATCAAATTGTCTACTATGAATTAAGTAAAGTTTATCAATCTAGATGGGATTCCACTTTATTCAGATTTGATGTCAGCAAAGTGGGATTCAGTCACATATTATTGATATCTGTTTTTTCAGGTGTCCAAAGATCTGGAAACAGAGCAGGAGCTAAATCTGTCCATGCGTCAAGGTAAACAGGAGTGGGTGTCCAAGGTCGTGAAGCTGGAAAGTGTGGTCAAGCAGAAGGATCAGGTAAATAGACAGTAGGTGTAGAAGAGAGAGAGAGAGTGTGTGTGTGTCTGTGTGTGCATATGTGTGTATGATATATATTTCTACTGTGTATTAATTGATAATTGATGACAAAAAATAGTTTGTTAGGGCAGATTTTTAACAGTTGGAACTCATAGTCTGAACTATTTTTTGAAAGAAAAATAGTCAGTAATATGATAGGGATTTATCATTTTGATTCTGAAAATTAAGTAGAATGGAAACATTACCTACAAAAATATCTTAATGTATATGATATAAATTCTGGAAAATAAATGATTTCTGAATGTACTATTGTTCTGCGATTATTTTCTCCAAACTCTTTTAATACCCCACTTAGATATGCATAAGATATGCAACTCATTAATCGTACTTAGATCATAAATTGATGTATTCCAAATTATATATTTGGTATTTTATATTATGTATAAATATTGGATATTAACGGTTACATATTATTGCATATATTATCTTTCATTCTTTCTTTTTGCTATTAAGATTGGAATGGAATACAACAGACATCATTGTGGGTATTTCAGTTAGTATTATTTGCTGTCAAGGCAAAACTTATAATGAGAATGCTTGGATTCCCCACAGAAAATAGCTGAATTGGAGTCACAAGTGAGTGATGTGATGGCCCACCTAGAGGCTCTGTCCACAGTCAACTGCAACCCAGAGCTCCAGGGCGGCCAGGTCTATATCCCAAACGAGAATGCGAAGCCACAGGGGGCGAGACGGAAACACAGAAAGTAAAGGAGGGGGAGAAGTTTCCAGTTTGCGGCGACTTCTTCAGATTTTCTAATTTGGGACAGCTTGCTAAGATGACCAGGCTTATTGTGCAAAAAGACTTGTTCTAAGATTTTTTTTTTTTTTTTTTTTTTTATCTGTTCATTTTCTTTTTTCTTTTTCCTCTTTGTTTGTTCCAATTTTTTGGAACAGTAATTAAGTTGAAAGATTCTGTTAAACTAGTCAGTATTTTCAGTGATTAATAGATCATATCTGTACAAGTACAATTAAACTTGAAATTATTTAGGTTGTGTGATGATTATATATATACAGAATATTTGTTACTTACATGAGTATGAGATTTAAATGTTTAGGACCTTAATATGTACCTTAGATTTGTGTTCCGACTGATATCTCAAGTTAAACTTAATCTCAGTATAGGTAAAAAAAAAATATTGAAAATGTTATGTTTATGTACATGGAAATTGTAAATATTATCTTACATATTTTCCTTTTAGCATATCTTTATAATCACCTATTGGGAATTGTAAATATAACTTTTCCCAGTTATTTTTTTCTTCAGTAATATCATTATCAAAACTGATATGTTATTTCAAATTACAAAAGAATTAATAAAACTATTTTTATGGTCTCATGTTTTTCATTTTTCTTATTAGATGTTTAGTTCCTCAAAAGTATAATGCAAAAATTAATAGGAAAAACGAAAAGACACTTTTAATATCATTTAATATTTTTGCTTGAAAAAATGGTCTATTTAATTTTAAAGACTGAAAGCATTATGCATGGAAGGTTACAAGCTGTTTATGCATATCTAATTCATGGCATTGTTTCTCAAAGGAAAGAAGATGCAGATGTAGTTATTTTAATTGCAGTTGCACATGTACTTTTGCATTTCACCTCCAGAATTTACAGCTAAGTGCTGTTCATCTCTTCCTATTTCACACCTTGCTAATTTTTTACCATTACATTTAAAGATTAGGTTTCAAGTAGTTCACTGACATTTCCACAATCAATTGCCATCATTTTCCTGTGTATTTGTAATTAAGTGCTTTCTTTTCCTATAATGATGACTTCTCACCCACTTATTCTCTCTTAGTTTTGTTCATGTCCCTTAATAGGTCTTCATTATGCAGTTTACACATTCTCATCAGGATCCACCTCGTTGCAAAGTTGTCTATAACCCAAGCCTGAAATAGTTACAGAAAGTATGCTTTGTGATGAATCAAAAGGCTATAATTGTAAATGAAATTACAGATTACATGTACGTAATCAAGAACTATGTGTAATGAACCTTACCATTATCCCATGAGACCAGTAACCTGTGGTGTAACTGGAATACCCCAGAGTGTCCAGGGCATGTGCAGCAAAGTTAGAGGCAGTTGGCACCGTAAGACCTGGTAGATATGAAGAAACATACAAAATGTAAGAAGATAAAATTATATGTTTGTTCTTTTTCCTATTTTCACCGTAGATTATTTGTTACAATTTATTTCTAAGTTTTTAATTTTTTATTTGTTGGTGGGTGTATGTGTATGTGCATACATAGATGCATGCATGTGTGTGTGCATCTATATATGCATGCATGTGCATGTGTATTTGAATCAATTAACTATCCCTTACTTGGCTTGTAGATCTTTTCAGAGTAGCTCGTCATATTGGTTGATACATAACCGGGAGTAATGGTCTGAACTGTAATGCCTGAGCATTTATACTCCACTCCTAAAGCCTCAGAGAAGTAGTCTACAAATGCCTGAATAATAAAGAATAAAATATATTACTAAATAGCATAAAGAAAGTCAAGAATCTACTTTGAATGAAAGGTAATGTAATTCCAGCAATGGATATGTAAGTATCTCTTAAAATGAGGTCTAGACTTGATTACAGTATTAGTAAATAAGATCTGGTCTGAAAACATATTCTTGCTGATGAGGTCTTTTACAGCGAATTTAATACAATTATATTTAGAGCAAGTCTAGTATCTTGAATTTGAAATTTGAACAGGAAATGACAGAAAAACAAAAATCACCAAAGAGCAGAATAAGGCTACCAAATAGCACAGGTTACTAGCATCCATCAAAAACAACAAACCACCTTCTGCATTACCTTTGAAGCAGAGTAAATTTGGAGGAGGGGAATAGGACATCGGCCAGCTATGGAAGCCAGATTTACTATAGCCCCTTTTCTTCGCTTAAGCATCTGAGGGAGGATGATCTTGGTCATTGCCAGAGGAGATGCAACATTCACATTAACATGACTCCAAAGAATATGGTTGTTCACCTCACCAAAACTCATTGGGTGAGGGGTTATAACTCCCACATTGTTCACTAGAAGAGATGAAAGTCGGTGTGAAACATTAAACATGATGTCAAGTTCTTGCTTCTTAATCCTAGTACGCTGTATTGTGAAAAGTTCATTCAGAATATAGGCTGAAGTTAATTATTTCAGTATTTAGTGATGCAGTAATCAATGAAAATAAGTAAGTTATAATATAATACATAGGTATTTCAACTTTATTTTGAACTACAGAAATAATGTGTATCTGTTTTACAATTCTTGAAAATTTACCTAAGATGCCAATCTCCTTTCCTTCAATGCTTTTCTCAATTACGGAGTAAATCTCTTTACCCAGGTTGAAGTCTACTTGTACTTTTTCTGTCTTGACTCCAAACTTTCTACCTGTAAGCCCAACATGGTGAGATCAAATTATTTCATATCTAATTATCAATCAAAAGTAGATTAATATACAGGCAGTTTTCTTCCATCTGTATCACTGGAATTTCAATCAAAATATTAAAGAAGTATATTAAATAACACCATTTTCATTACAGATATTTATCATTTTATAAAAAAACAAAAAAACTTACCAATCTCTGAAGCAACGTTCTGTAGTTTTTCTGCAGTTCGAGATATCAAAATAATGTTCATACCATTCTTTGCCAGTTCAAAAGCATAAGCTTTCCCAATTCCATCTGTGCATCCTGTTACAACTGGGAAGTATTCACATGTTAATCAACTCATTTATTCTCTTTATTTACTTATCTAGTCAAGTAAAGGGAAATAAACAGCCACAGTAAGAATTGAACTGAAACATGTTGGCATTTCCAATCCAATTAGTTTCCACTTCAGATAATAAAATTGAAAAGGATACTCAGTGATACCTATGATATACTTGTATATGTATATCAGACAGTGCCGGCTTGATTCAGTTCTTTGCCTTGTGTCATTCAATCTGCTGTACATTGAGTCCAAATTTTCTTTGAGTCTTGATTTTGATTTTATCATGTCATGACATCTTGTCTGATAAAAAAAAGTCGAACGTTGGTATTCCCCTTCATACTGTGGCCGTTTTTCTTTCATATTAGTACACTCATTAATATACTTGTCCTTTTGCTCAGACGAAAGAAAATACAATCAAATGTTCATAAGGCAGAATATCATAATGTAAGCTATTGCTAAGTCTGTGCCTTTATTTCGAAATATTAATTTAAGATGTAGCATAGGGTCAATGAAAATGCCAGCTTGGACAGTTAAGGAAAAGTGTGTATATGTGCGTGTGCGCGGATGTGGTGGGTGTTAGGTGTGTGTATATATGAGTGTGAGTGTGAGTGTGCGTGTATGAATATGAGTATGAGTGTGAGTGTGCGTGTATGAATATGAATATGAGTATGAGTATGAGTATGAGTATGAGTGTGAGTGCGTGTGTTAGTGTGGGCGCGGGAGCGGGAGTGGGGGATGGAGGGTGTGCCTGTCTTTATCTTGGCTGTGTGTATCCCTGCGGACCTGCGAGTGTGATGCTAAGTGTGTGCACGTCGCTTTGTGTCTGTGTTTGCCCTTGCATGTGTGTATATGTTTGTACGATTTCTTTCTATACTCTCTTCATATACATACTTGCCCACTTCCCGTAAGTCTGCACTAAGTTCTTCTTGCACAGTTTAGACCACACATGCGCCCTCAGACCCACGACCACATCCCATGCTGTCCTCACAATGAGCTTCGTAGCCGTCAGGATGCCAATGACCATAAAGACATTCACCATGGCCTCAAGACCTGGGAATAACCGGAGATCCTCGAAGTCAATCATTTCTAAACGGCCATTAATGACGTTCACTGCCCTTCAGAACTTTGTGTTTCTCGCGTGTTGTTTGCCGTTATCCATCGTTGTCGTAGATGCTATGACGAATTTCAAAGCTTATCGTCGTCTTATCGTGCGGTAAATCTTGTTATGAGATAAATGATGGAGAGCTGCTAAATATAGTCATTTCTTTCCTTTGAAGCCTATCCTCCGACAAGTACTGAATTTGCTGTTTTCGTTAATTCTGTGGCTTTTCAAAGTGAATGAAGTTCATAATCAAGCAGTGCTCAGTTTTTTTCAGCGTTTTACAAATTATTAAGCGTTTAGCTAAACAAGTGTAGTTTTTTTTGGACTAAAGTACAGTGAAGTAAGCCACAATATTGACAACTTTTAGTCACTAACAGCTGAATAAGGCATAACCGTGGTATTAAATATCAAAATGATTCACTACTATATACACATATGTGTGTGTGTGTAATGTGTGTATGTATATATGTATGTATATATATATATATATATATATATATATATATATATATATATATATATATATATATATATATATATATATATATATCATATGCATTTGTTTATGTGTATTTATATATATACGCATATATATATATATATATATATATATATATATATATATATATATATATATATATATATATATATATATATATATATATATATATATATATATATATATATATATATATATATATATATATATATATATATATATATATATATATACATATATATGACTGCCGCGATAGCTCAGTGGTTAGAGCACTGGACTCCATCCCTCGTGGTCCCGCGTTCAATTCCCTGTCGCGGCAGTCGTAAAAAATACCTGCGCTCTGACTGCTGACTCGAGTCGGAGAAAACGACATATCGCCTCGAGAAGTCAAACGCAGGTGTCGTAGGGGAAGTCACCGCTGTGGCACAAGTGTTAACGCGCCGAACCGCGGTTGATTAGGAAGGGCATTCAATCAGGCAAAGGTGTCACCGCCATATAACCTCTCAATGGTCAATTGAGAGAGGCCGATGTCCTGCAGTGGAATGGATGGCTGTTGAAAAAAAATGTATATATATATATATATTATATGCATTTGTTTATATGTGTATATATATATATATATATATATATATATATATATATATATATATATACGTATATACATTTATTATATGCTTTTGTTTATATATATATATTATATACACACACATGTCTATTTATCTTTCTCTCTCTCTCTATATATATATATATGTATATGTGTGTGTGTGTGTGTGTGTGTGTGTGTGTGTGTGTGTGTGTGTGTGTGTGTGTGTGTGTGTGTGTGTGTGTGTGTGTGTGTGTGTGTGTGTGTGTATAAATAAATAAATAAATAAATATATGTACATATATATATATATATATATATATATATATATATATATATATATATATATATATATATATTCCTTACCCACAGTGGGCCCAGCCACAGGAATAACTTTCAAGCTATACTTTAAACTTCTCGCGCCTTTGCCGATCGCTAACCGCCGAACCCTCGGATGAGAGGCCGACACGTCACCACTGTACCAGCCCGGAGATGACACTTCTGACTAAGGCTTAATCTCTGATGGTCCATTCAGTTAGGAACATGGACCATCATTCTTCAGCTTGACCAGCTATTACTGTCGAGAGAAATTAAAGTGGAAGTGCACTCTCAGAGAAGAAGAAGAAGAAAAAAAACTAGCAGCAACATGATTCTTGAGGTAGTTTCACGGATTACCATTTGGGCCAGAGCAACGGTTGCCATCTTCACGGGGTAGCCATGGCAATTTTCAGTAGACTTTAGCCTTTGGTAGCAGAGGGAGTTCCGGCCAGTGAGTGTATAATGATTTATGTCTCGAACTGCAGTGTACATTCCTGCCAACATGCATGTGGCAAGCTAAACTTGCCTCTGTGGCAGATAACAACCGGCTGTGATCGAACTAGTCACATGATGCCAGTCGGCTCCCACGGCTCGGGAACTGTAATCGGCGAGAAGAGTCTCTCCTCCAGGATGATCTGAGGATTCAAAGACTGGCTTTCTGGTATCAGCGCCCCAAACTACATCACTGGTACACCGATGTGGGTAAATCACCTAAGGTTGCTATCTTATGGGTCCACCTCAAATCAGCTATTTATTCAGTGACTGCCATGGCATGTTTCACATGCAAAGACTGAGAGAGGTTTGTTCTTGGGGGTTGCTATGGCTATTTCCAGTAGCTTGACAGTGCTTGGCAACCCGAGGGACACTGTAGCACTGGGAGATACCTCCAAACACAAACACTTGATGCAACTCTGTAGTTCAATGGTGACCACCCAAGAACAAGGTAGAACCTTTTCTTACAGGAGATGCATGTTGCATAGTTTGACTGGCCGGCGATTAGGCCTTGCATCGACCTCTAACACATCGATCTCAGACTCTGCAAAGAAGGGATCAGGGCGAGGTCGAAGGCCTTATCTTAGTAAATGACCTTTGTCATGTCTGCCAAGCCCTGCAAAAGCGAACTCAAAATTCTCCCCACTGATGAAAGTTCATCTTAGATCATTTTCAGCAGCCACCGACAATTAACATGGGCCTGGGTGGTGTCGTGAACCCAGTGCCTCCTTCCCGTCAGTGAGGAAACATCATAACAGAAAATGATCTCCATGCTGCAAAATCTGCAAAGAATATTTAAGTGTAGCAGTCATAGGAAAAGCTTAAGGTCTTTCATCTCATATTTCGTTAAAAATTTCAATCAGCCAGACAGAATCGATAAACCTGTTATTTTACAGTACATCAATTATACGAAAATATAACAACTATTTTTTTCAAACGCCACCCCCCAAAATCGACTGTTTGGATAGTAACACTATGGGGGTGTGCTTATAGCTCAAGTTTGTAGTTGAATTGGCTTTGCCTTAGCTACCCAGCAACAATGTCATTCTATCGGTATATCCAAGATCCAAGTTTTTTATGTATCGAAAAGTCGTTACTTCGATATATTTACATACCGAATTTGAATTTAAAGTTAATAGTTATGAATTGCTATATAACCCGTCTGCTCTATACCTACTTTCTTATTTGTGAATTTGATTTATTCATTTAGCACTTCATGTGTTGCAAAAGGAAACAAGGGCACGGCTCAAAATGTATTTTATTAGTTTTAATCAGCATTAAAAACGGAAGCATAGGTTATTGCTAAGGAATGCGACTATATTGAAAATGAATAACAGACAAAATCAGAAAAAATGTGTATATATCAATTAGTGAGTTTTTATTTCATTTCTAATCTGTTCATTTATTAATTTATTAATTTGTCTATTTATTATAAGTAAAGATCGCTGCCTGTTTACTTGTACAGTTATTCATCCCTTTCATCTAGCAACATAACTGGGTTCTGCTATACATTTCAAACCAAAGGTTATTTTCCTGTCATCCACTTCTGCTGATCCTCCGCCATTCATTCATCTTTGGTCTTCTTTGAATCCTTCAGTAAAGACTCGCAGTTCTTCTTCAGAATCTTCATCCAAATCCATCGTGGAAAGAAATTATCCATTATCCAGGCCTGAAAAGCGGGAAATATGGACTCGATGGGATTATTAATTTGTACAATTATTATTATTTACAAGTATTCTCAAATACTCAATCTATGTCTGTCAGACATTACCCCCCTCCACCCCCGGCTATCTATCTACTTCGGGCACCACCCTGTCTGTCTCTTCAAACATCATTTTATCTATCTAGTCAAGCATTCTCCCCATTATTCTATTTAGACATAGTCCCTGACTATCTATCTATTCACCCCCCTCCTACCCTCTTCCTATCTATTTAAGTACCCCCCCCCTTTCCTATCTAGACAGACATCCTAGCCAAAGTTCTCACCTGAATGCCATGGGTCCAATAGCCTGTCGTATAAGGGGTGTATCCTATGGTATCCACAGCATGGGCGGCGAAGTTGGAGGCTGTAGGCACGAAGAATCCTGGCGAGAGAAAGGAAAGGAAAGATGGTTGGTAGTTCGTCCACTGAAACTTATCCTATGGTATTGGTATCTTGTATCTTGATGGTAGTGGTATCTTATATGTGGTATATGGTTGTAGTATTTTATATGTGGTATATGGTAGTGGTATCTTATATATGGTATATGGTAGTGGTATCTTATATTAGGTATATGGTAGTGGTATCTTATATATGGTATATGGTAGTGGTATCTTATATGTGGTAGATGGTAGTGGTATCTTATATGTGGTAGATGGTAGTGGTATCTTATATGTGGTAGATGCTAGTGGTATCTTATATATGGTATATAGTAGTGTTATTTTATATATGGTAGATGGTAGTGGTATCTTATGTATGGTAGATGGTAGTTCGTCCAATGATCTCCTCAATGCACCGATAAATAAAGAGGTTATACGGCGTCCTGGTAGAAGAAAAAAGATTGAGAATAGACAGGAAGGACATATTAGGAAAATGTCAAACAGAAGAAAAAAATAAGGAAAAAAAGATAAATTAGGGAAATAAAACGAACAAACAGTAAGAGATAAAAATCATAAAAAAGAACAAAGAAAACCATCAAATGAATAACATAAATATACACAACATAATAGAACATTTCAAACAGATAATAATTAAAAAACAAAAACAAAAGAAAAATACAGAAATATGTATAAACAATTACAAAATCTTACCTGGTTTGTGAATCTTCTCGGAAAAGCTCGTCATGTTGGTCGACACATAGGCAGGGGTAACGGTCTGAACAGTCACGCCAGAATTTTCGTATTCTGACCCTAAAGCCTCGGAGAAGAAGTCTACAAAGGCCTGTGGATATTGAATGTGTAATTACTAGATTGTTATTTCCAGTCTATATAAATGTTTTCATGTGTAAAGGCCTGTCAGAATTAAAATCTGATGTTTACATATGGTTTTATTTATTTTTAGAATTATCTTTTCATATACAAAAGCCTGTCAGAGTTTACATATGGTTTTATTTATTTTTAGAATTATCTTTTCATATACAAAAGCCTGTCAGAATTAAAATCTGATGTTTACATATGGTTTTATTTATTTTTAGAATTATCTTTTCATATACAAAAGCCTGTCAGAATTAAAATCTGATGTTTACATATGGTTTTATTTATTTTTAGAATTATCTTTTCATATACAAAAGCCTGTCAGAATTAAAATCTGATGTTTACATATGGTTTTATTTATTTTTAGAATTATCTTTTCATATACAAAAGCCTGTCAGAATTAAAATCTGATGTTTACATATGGTTTTATTTATTTTTAGAATTATCTTTTCATATACAAAAGCCTGTCAGAATTAAAATCTGATGTTTACATATGGTTTTATTTATTTTTAGAATTATCTTTTCATATACAAAAGCCTGTCAGAATTAAAATCTGATGTTTACATATGGTTTTATTTATTTTTAGAATTATCTTTTCATATACAAAAGCCTGTCAGAATTAAAATCTGATGTTTACATATGGTTTTATTTATTTTTAGAATTATCTTTTCATATACAAAAGCCTGTCAGAATTAAAATCTGATGTTTACATATGGTTTTATTTATTTTTAGAATTATCTTTTCATATACAAAAGCCTGTCAGAATTAAAATCTGATGTTTACATATGGTTTTATTGTGTAATTACTAGATTGTTATTTTCTTCTATATATGTTTTCATGTGCAAAAGCCTGTCAGAATTAAAATCTGATGTTTACATATGGTTTTATTGTGTAATTACTAGATTGTTATTTTCTTCTATATATGTT